TATCGCAGTCAGCGACAAACGAATGTGTCAGAACACTATGTTTGAAAATATATTGCAATATATTTAGTACCCATATAATAATATATACTTTTTTGACAATATTATGGAACCATACGATATGGTAATTTCAAATGGTGTCACCGGTTCGTCACTCTAAAAACCCTTTGTACGATTAAATTAAATTTTGGAACCGAAATTAGGATTAAATCATGCGGACGTTTTATATAATATACTCGACTGCAAACGTTTTGATATTGGATATTAATTTATTACGCAACTGATACAGGAAAACATGGACCTTGCACACCATGTATGCAACCGATATAATGTCAACAACAGCCGTCACCTGTGGACGAAAATTACACGAATTCCAGTAGAATATACGAAATATCGTTAACCGTGAAATTTGACTCGATCCACTGACTATTCCACGTGGGTACTAAGAACGCTCTTGTATTTTATGTAAAATAAGTAATAACGTAATACTAGCTTGGTACAAATTATAGTCATCGTTTCGTCATGATATCGTTAGTAAAGTCAACCACGACCTTGAACGACGATTTGAAATCTTTATATGCCAAACACCGTATAAAATACAATGCAAATATAAACACTCGAAGTACTAGTTATGATATTAATATGATGAATATTTGTTTTTTAATTATTTTTTTTTTATAATTTTTGCTTTCATTGAAAAACAAGTCAGCGAGATTATGATAGAATACAATACGTTTTATCATATATATGTGTGTATAAAAAATGGGCACGGAGCTGATGAAATATTATAGTACATTCATCCCTCAGCAGGCATACTCCTATAATGATGAATGCGATTTTAATTATTCATATCAGGGCACCGGCTGTCGCTCCGATGGATTCCCTTATTTTTATTATTAAATCAATTTATATTGAATATTTTAAGACTATAATTATAACACGATATTATGTTTCAAATATTAATTATACAAATAATAGGTGTAGGTTATAATTGATACATTAATTTAATATCATATTTTAAAGTTGATCGAATATATAACTCATTCAAGATAATATTTATTAAAACATTATTTTTAAATTAAATAAATTACATGAAACAATGTAATGCTAGTAGATTTAAATAATATTCCAAATAACAATGCTATGTACCTACTGTTTGAAAAAAAAAAAACGTATCGTCTGCAAAACGTTGACAATTTATTACATTATTATTATTATTATTATTATTACTCAATTCGCCAGGGGAATAGAAATGCGTTGGAACTGAAAACGGTCCAAAAATATGATTATGGCTCTCAGATATAGTTTGCAACAAAACCGTCAATCGTAGACCTGTCGCATTCAGTAGACAACGGTGGAGTATAGAATGTTATTTTTTCCCAACTTTTATATGGAATAAATATTTACGATAATCGAATCATTTAAATAAAGCCCTATGTGGTGACAATACAGTGTACTAGTGTAGGCTCTTTTCATTGTTCAACACTCATAAGTCAATCGTATAAGTTATGAGGGTTGTTGTACTTGTCTACGCGGTTCATATTATTCTAGTTTGTATTTTACGTAGAGTTTAAGTGGATATTCTTCTACATTTATTTTAATGTTTGTACTTTCTAGTCTCGGTAGTATAACTTTTCATTCGGAGATTTTGCATAGCTATTTTCAACATAAAAAAGTTTTATGAAAATAGTGTAAAATATATTTACGCAAAATAAGTCTAATAAACTTTTACGAAAACCTTGTGGCAAAACTCAATCGTTACTCACAGATGGAGGTTTGACTTTATTTAAAACGAGATTAACCATTATAATATTATAGGTATGTGTTTTATAAATGTAATACTGTCTTCAGAATTGACTTAATAATATTATCTTCTATCTACAACTATCTGTGGAACATAAACTTCGTGGAAACAGTAAATATCTTTCTTAATGTCAATATAACTTAACGTCAGTATTATTTAGATAATTTAATCGAGAGTTGGTAGATCATAGATTACATAAATCGAGAAAAAACATTTCGTTAGACTTTGTAATTCGTGTTTTCTATGCTTTTTATCAAAGTCTAAAGTAAAGTGAAGGAAATCCTGGGAAAATAACGGAGAAGATTACATTTATAGAAAATGGAAACAGTTGTTTAAAAAAAAAAGACTCACTGTCGAAATGGAGCTCTCACTGTTAACATAATTAATATGTTAAAAAGTTATAAATATTCTATTGGATTTGTTGATTTGTAAAAAATACATTTACAGATTCATTTTTTATTCAAACATTTCAATAACAATTATCTGGATATTATTAAAATCAAAATTTTTAATTCCTAAAATACTATGATATCTTGTTAATTACACCAAGCAATGTGTAGTATATTATATAGTAATATAGTATGTATACAATGTTTATAATGTTTAGAAGATGAAAATGAGAAGCTTTCATAATATTAAAATGAAAAAATAGCACGAACACTATACGCAACGAGACAAAATAATGTTTGGAATTTGTTTCAATTTCGTCACTTCGGAGTAGAATGATAGTATATTATTATTTTTATATATTGATTATTGAATGCAGCGAAATATAGGCCATTAGTATAAGAATTTTGTGTTTGGTTAGGTGCTATTAACACTTTTTTTTTAAATTAAATTATTCATTTTTCTTTTCTTTTTTTTAAAGAATAAAAATAAGTTATTTGTGTCCTATGGATTTATTCCAAGTGCTTGGCCAATTTGTTCAGATATGTGAAATTGATCCTGATACTTGTTTTATTTGTGGCATTCGGCGATGATGTGGTTAACCTTTAAAAGGATAGTTTATCATTTATTATTGTTATGATTTATAGACCAATATTTAATGATTTAATGACCAATATTATGAATTTTGTATTTAGTATACTAGTCGAAAATGATTTCAATAAAAAAAATGATTAAAGATTTAATGCTCCATATGACTATGTATTTATAGTTTCATACAACTATTTATCGAGTTTAGATTTGGATTGTTTGAAACTAAAACAATTGTTTTCAGTTATTTTTGACAAAGCAAATATTAAAAATAAAATAAAATATTGATAGTTGACTTAAATATTTTTCTTAAAAATAATATTTTATCAAAATATAAAATTTTTTTTTACAACTATGATCTGATCATACCTCATCACACATTATAGTTTATAATTTAAGGGGTTTTTTTTTTGAATGTCGACAGAAAATACTCATAACACTCGTATTGTATTATATGATATTGTTAGGTGTATAAATGTTGCATCGTATTTATTTTCACGAAAGATGAACTTAAGAGCATCAAAACAATCTGTTCCTTTGTCAGGCTTATAACAATAAAATGTACGTAGTCGCAACACATCCAAAATTAAATTATACTTCGTCGTTGTCGTTTCAAAGCGCTTAGACATTTTAGCTGAGTGGCGGATGTTGTAATATATTATAATATAATAATCAGTGATCTTGAAAAGGGATTTTAAAATGCATTGTGAACATTTCGCTAAAGGTACTGGTAGCTTTTGATTGTTTTTTCTTTTTATTAATAAGGTGAGAACTTTGTCAACACAATAAATACATTCTCATTTAAATTCAATCAAATTGTATGTAACTAGTGCTGTTGAAGCAATAAAAAAAATATACATTTAATTATGTAGATAAAAATAACGTTTATAAGTTATGAAACTTAAAGTCAATATGGTCACATCAATAAAATTATGAATCTACTAAGTACTGCAGTGTATTATTAGGTATTATTTTTTTTCAATTTATACCTTAGTATTACAAATGTCTAAGTTAAGTTTACACTTATTATATTATTTTCAAATAGGAATTTCATTTTAGTTCCATCTTTTTAATCATTAAAACTTACGATTGCCACTTTTATAGCCATAGTTTTTCTTCTTATAAATTGTCATATCATATTACAAATAATCAATCTCCATGTATTAAATAGCATAGAACATAACATACAACAGGTATATCAATAATAATATTTTGTACCTTATGCGATAATTGTGGAGCGTTATCTTTAAAAACACCATTGTTTAATTCAGCGTAATCTGTAATACAATATGAAAATGCAATTGTTACAAATCAGATGCTTATTAAATAAAAAAAAATGAATGACAATTTAAAAGCCTGAACAAATAAAGGATAATTTTGATTATAAGCAGACATTTTCAAGCAAGTTATTACCATCGTGGTTATCAGTTTTCCAAGAATGTGATAAGTTGTTTGATACGAATTCAATTATTCTTTCTATAATGCAAAATGCTCGGTTTTTTTACCAGATAGTCACAAAAAGTATAACATGTTTTAACACAGTTAAAAGTACAGTTATAAGTTCTCAAACTCTTTTCCATTTTTAATAAATGGATGTTATAAATTACGTTCTATAACTATACGATTAATTATAAAAATAAAAATAATTCTAAACCAATAATTACATGATAGGTAAATTCGAAAAACTATTTAACAACGAAAACGTAAAGAGAATTGTTTATTTTATCCAAAGTACCTACATTGCATTATAAATACGATGGATTGGCATTATGATTGATCGCCTTACACATTGGACGTGATTGAGTTCACTGTTAATTCATACTTTATAATGTGATTTAGTGCACAAACAGAATTTTTGATGTATGATAATCATGACAATTAATTTTGATTTTGAAGAGGCTCTCGTACTGCACTTAGCCAACCAAATATATCCAGATGGGTGGCCATTAAATAAATTTATAGCATTTATACACACATTTTCAATTGCCATTTATGTATTTGAAAACATCTGTGTTCTGTATTTTTTCCATGTTACATCTATTGGGCAATGTATCTAAGTATCAATTAGGATAAAAGCATGTAACGAAGAATAAAGTAGTCTGTTGAACAATTCAACATATAAAGTTACGCCCACGTATTATGCTCACAAATTAAATTATTTTAAAAAATACTTGAGTTAAACTAATTTAATGTGTTTTAATGCATGATATTTTTATTTTCACAGGTAACAATGAAAATTCATACACAAAAACAGTAAAAAATATCAACATTTGTACAATATTTCAGAATCTAGTGATTATGTGGACGAATGCAAGGTAGTTAAAACTTTATTTTTCGACTATATATTATAATTTATAATATACTTAGTGAAATCTAAAACCAAGTCCTCAAAATTATTTTAGCTTCGTTATAAACACACTTTTATAAACATAAATATAGATCAACAGGCTTAAAGTAAATTCGGTTTACAAATTATTTTGTGGTTATTAAATTAAAACCTAAGTAAATAGTACACTTTATAATATCACAGTTAAATTCATGATTAAATATAACTCTAAAAGTATCAAAAAAAAGTGCCTACAAAATTTGCCACATAAAACATAATGTTTGTAAACATATAGTTTGACTGTCATCGGGTTAAGTTACATAATAAATTATATAATATACGTATATATCATACAAATATGTTATACACATTAAATAATGTAACAACAGTAGACGTTATATTATATTATGTAATTTTTATAAATTTAAAAGTACGTTTTAATAACTCACTTTCTATTAAAAATAGACGGTATCGAGTGTTTTAATTTTAATTTATTTTACTACAATACATTTCCATTAAAAAGAAGAAAAAAATAGTATACATTTTATATTTTATGGTGTCCATATTTTTTAATTGGTTGCACAAGTCATACGATTGTCATTAAAAAACTAAAACATATCCCTTTCCGTTTTCGTTAGTTGTAGATTTTTAAACCTTAAAAATTGAAAAATATTAGTCATAAATCATTATAGAAATAAGTAATTTTTAAAAAGTTTTTCATGCCAAGTTTTTCCTCAACAAATACATTTTTTATTATTAAATATTTTTCACCATTATTATTAATGTGTCTCAGAATTATATTTGTATTATTTAAAGGATGTTTTAGTTGTTTATTGGGCTTTTATTTAAGTGAATGTTTTAATAGTTGAATTATTTATTACCATTTAGTATTTACAAAGTTTTAAAGTACAGGCAGTTGCAGACGTGTAGTAAACAGGCAAAATTGTATAAGAATAAACAATGTGATTCCCCATACATATTATTCATACAATCATATATCACATGTAAATATATGAATTCCGCGTATAAGCTCTACCAAAAAGATTCTGATCTTAAGTTATGTATAAGAAAATTACATTATTTATACCGTAATATAATATCGTAAAATAAATGTATAAAAAAAAAAAAATACTGATCCTAAAGATAGTATTAACATATTGCTTTCCAGATATTTCATTAAAATTAGTATTCAGAGAATCCTTTCAATGTGTCCGTATAGTTAACTAATATATAGTTTATAATTACATTTTATTCTGATAAAATCAACTATTTTAAAAACCTGGTTCCACACAATTTGTGTAATAATTGAAAAAGCTATTTCAAAAACCTAGATGTTCTTGATTTAACTATCAGCCGAATGACATGTTTTTAATTTAGCTGTTCGATTTCATATATGATGTAATAGACAATACTATTACATGTATCCTGTCCGTAAATAACACGAATATCGACTAAATCATGATGTTTACAAACAAAATAAAAACTGATGAGGCTCTGAACAAAAAGTAAAAAGTAAACTTATGATTTTAAATTCTTAATTAATTAATATAAATATGAAATATGAATCGATATGATACATAAAGTTATGGGTGCATAGTAGTATACGGTATAGTTATTAATTGCATTTACGGTATAAAAATAATTAACAATTTAATCGTGTGACATATTTTTCTACTCGGCTCAACTTTCCGTCTATGATGAAAATATTATAATATAAAGTCAAGGGTATACAATTATTTATATTGCAGGATATTTCAGAAATGATTATATATGTTACCAATAAATTCGTGCCAATTTAGTGTCCGTGAAATATTATTTCCTAAGTTCCCGATGTTTCCATGCAGTACATTTACCGAGGTGTACTTTGAGTGTTAAACTATAACCTCATCATGATGATCCATCTGTAATTACGAGTCAGATTTATCAATAAATCGTAATCGAAAACGTATTTGAGAAGTTTCAGGAACTCAGTAATAGATTATTCTGGGATTTCATCCGGTAAAAGTTGCGTGGGGAATTTTTTTTTTAAACTTATACTGCGTTTAAAAATGAGTATGGGAAAAATCTATTGTAAAAGGAGCACAAAGGCAACATACTCTATTTTGGTTTTGAAAACAATTTTATGTATTATACATTCAAAATTTAATGAATTTAAAAAAGTAGAATAATGCATGAGTTAAAAATTAAAAAAACCCTGTAACATCGTTAAATAATAATTTTATTATTCACTAAACATAAAATATTTTGATAGCCGTTAAAATTATTTAAATCGTTAGGTATAATAATTTACCTATATTTGTACAACAATAATATTCTTTAATTTGTTATCAAACTAATAAAATATAATTATTTTAATAACCTCATTATCAGCAGTTTTGTTTAAAATATTAAGAATTTGTGCATTATTATTTTATATTTTAAACAACTAATTAGAATTTGAAATATTATTTATTGATATACTGACACCATAAACTTTTCAAACGTATTTTTTTTTTCAATACTTTAAGTACATACTTGGGTATATAAGTATTGTAGGTTACAGCAATGATAAAATATTGTAAACAATAATATAATATAGTACACCGTGGTTGTAACTAATAGCGTAATTAAAAACTGCATTTAGTTGATACTCATATTATATATTTAATACGATTACTAAAACAATATTCGATCATTGAGAGGGCTACGAAATGTAGCAAAGCCCTCCCAAATTAAAAATTAAAAACTCCCCTTCAAAAAACCACGTATTACTCTAGCAATTCTAATCACTATGAGTATTAGACCTTGGATTATAATTCAAAGTCAATAGTTTGTTGACAACAATTTAGAGTATAATCATGAATTATAACTAGAATAAATTATTATCTATAGTCAGGGCCTTAGGGGGACTTAGAATTGTACCTAGATCATCAATATCTTAAATCGTGGTTGAAGTTTAGCAGTACACTGTACTATTATAATAATATTATAATATTACGTTATAATAATAATAATAAACCCAATGAAATAAATAGATCTAACACTTCGGGGCAATTCTAATTAGTTTATTAAGATCTTATGATCCACTTGTTCATTCAATTTATCAATGTATTATTTTAATTACTCTGAGCAAGTTTTTTTTCTTCTGGTAAGAAATCGTGATGAAGTTAAATAATATATAATGCATTCATATTTCGTTTCCATATTATATTATAAAGTACATTTTGATCAATACGTCAAAATTGTATGTATGTATGTGTTTAATAAAATAGGCCATAGCTTCCAAATTAATGTTAATTTAGGTCCCTTTCACTGCACAATATATGTTAATTAATAATTTTTTTTTAAAAACACTTTGCTTTTTGAGTTATATAAATATTGGATAATTAAGGAGGAGCAGTTTCTGTAAACACCCTAAATAGAATCATTCGTTGTTAATTAGAAGGATTTATTTGATTTAGCATCAAATGTCAAAAATATAAAATAAATCAATTCAGTTAACGCTGTCAGTCGGATTGTGTCAGTAAGAGCTAATTGTTGACTGTAATGTGGTCCCATTTTGTTGTTTTTTGTCATTCGGTCATGTGAGTGATTATAAACAATTAAAATAGCCGATCGGATTTTCTATGGATGTTCATAATAACAACATTTTGCCCGAATCAATTTCAAATTAATATAAAGAATACATGACCTGACAGCTTAAATAATAAGTAATAAAATAAGATAAATAATTTTTATAACATACTTGAATAAGTGTCTATACAATGCAATCAAAATCAACATATTATTGTACATCAAGTTATTATTATAATATATTATAAAAATCGGTCTATTTCAAATTAAATAACTATACAATTTTCAATCAAATAAATAAATATATTGTGTTAGTCGTCGTGTAAGTCGTGTCAATAGTCACAGTGATTTAGTGAAAGCAATACACTTGAGTTTGTGATTTATTAACTATTTTCTGTTCGTTATTATTGTTTTAAAAAATATCGTTGTGGCTGTGTCCCATTTCATAGGTAATCATTTGGATATTTAAATAGGTATTCAAATATAAATGTATATTAATTACATATTAAGTGACTAGTAAAGTTGTTTCTGATGAATTTGTGTCGTAGAAAAATATTAAATAGATTGTTATAATTCATAAACTTTTTAGGGATATTATTATTTCGAATTTCTACGAATAAAGTTTCAAAATCCTCTGTTATACTACCTACGCTTATGTGTATTTTAAATTTCCATAAAAACAGGAAAAAAATTTTAAATAATTTTTTCTCACCCCATTCTAGAACGTATACTGTAAAATAATAAACGCATTTTAATACCATTGTTCGTTTTGCTTTAATTCCGATACCGGATTTACATTTCAGGTTCATTGTGAACATTTTTTTTTTTCGTTTCGTTTTAACCACACAGGACAGCTCCGAGTCAAGGGATATTTTGGCTCAATTTATATCCGCCTGCAAAGCTCTCATTGTTTATAATTTTCCATTTTTTTTTCATCTTTTTTTAGTTATTCAACATGGTTAGCTTTTTGTTCCTTTTTCAATCGAAAACAGCTTTAACCTTGTATACAATATATTTCATTAAAAACATAAAACAAAAACAAAATATAATATTAAGTTACCCATTAGAGTTTAAAGGGTTACTAGCTTGTCCGTTACTATTATTAAAGTAGGTAGGTACTCTTGATAATATAGAAAATATTTTTTCTGCCCTCTGTCGTCCCATTGTCCCAATATACTCGTATTCTGTATACTGATATTCAAACGAATAATATTATATTTTAACAATAATAAGACCACTCTTGAAGAGCTATTGTTTAGTAAATTAAAAATTATATTCGTTTTTTGCTTAACATCGTACTATCATTCTTTATGGTGACATTAAAAAAATTAGTTGAGGTATAATCTGGCTATAATTTCCTTTAATGACATATCAAACTGAATAAATATTTAAACATTCGTATGCGACATATCCACGGTTATTCGTCATGGTTAATTG